GCTCTTGGGAGTAAGAACGAGTTTTTGGAAAACATATATATATATTTGTTCTTATGCATGCGTGTGTATTGTGTGGGAGGAGAGCCACAAGAAAAAATTTATGCTCATAAGTTTACACACATCGACCAGTGTAGATGCAAATTTCGAGATAGTTGACAAACTTATGAGAACTTACAAACATGAAATATGAAAAGAGTTGCATCATTGTTCACAGCGCAGTCTCCCTGATTGTGTATCAAGAAACATACACGTGTTCGTTGTCTTCAAAGAAATGTTGAACAGATTATTGCTGCGCAGAGCTTAGTGTTTAAACTTATCAAATGTTGTCGACAGGAGCTATCAATACCATTCTTCTCTTCAGGTTGACAATCGTAAGTTTCCATGTTTTTATTATAAATAAGTTACTTTAATCGTACGCTTTCCTACCCTGCAGATATATCTGTATTTTTCAGGCCACTCGTGTCAGAAATTGTCAATTTTTCATTGAGAGATACAATGAGGAATTCGCATTTTTGGTTACTGATCCTGTCTACAAAATCCCACTGCTATATTTTTAATGATTGTTTTATACATCATTGAAATCAAGTTAATCTAGTTTATTACACAGAGGGCGCTATGAAATTCTCTTGATAACTGACTGCTATGAATCTAACGGGATCAATAGAACTTTTTGGAAAAAAACTATCCTATCTTACAGTTTATATCATTTAAGGAAAAACAGTAGCAAAAATAAAATATTAATTACCAGTATAAGCTCCTTATTTTATTAATATATATACGTATTTAGCAACATACCAAAAGAGAACAAAGTACGAGATTTAACATTTTTCAGTGTAAAAAATGAAATGTTAATACATTTTAGCAAATTTGTCGAGAAAATACGCTAAATAAACTGGACGGAAGCTGTTTCTGTGTAATGACGTATAAATGTCTGTATCAGGACTTTTTAGTTACCTTGACAGCTAACGTGTGAAAGTGATATATTCAACCTAAAATGAAATATCATTTTTTGTTTCAGTTATGTATGTTTAAGCATTTTTATGAAAGCTCATGCAGATTTCAATTTGTGTGACGTCACACGTTCGGCTTTGTTAAATAATTGTTAAGTATAAAAGAAAAGCACGTTTTACAGGGTGGCCTCATTTCAGTAGTCCTTTCATGCAAATTGACAGTCTTGAATAAAATTCTTTTTCTTTGATCATATGTTCCGATGAAAAATATTCTTTCCATTTTCTAACGAAATATTTTTTTAACATTTTAATATTGTAATCAAGTTTGTTTGTTAATTGTGTTACTTCACATGAAGACTAATTGAAGTAGTTTTGGTCTTTGTTTTTACGTCCGGTTATATATACATAATCTACTACTGAAAAAAGTTTTTAGTAAACACGTCAGGATTTGGAATTTCCTCATTATTTACTATTATGCCAAACCCACAGTTTTCAGTGTTTTAACTAGTTTTGAACATAAAAAACATCGTAGGTTACTTCATGTCGTTTCACAATATATGTTGAGGAGGAGTCAAAGATCGAGAAACCTCTGTGAGAATAATGACTCCAATCGATATAGTACTGTGTATATGACATAAGAGGTGAATTTAGACTATTCAAGAAGGGTTTTCGTATATCCGTTTTTTTATTCTTAGTCATTATAGAATATTTATAAAGAATCAAACAAAGCGAGATATATGAAATTTTTTTTTAGATAGTCTAAATTAATCTCTTATATCGTTTTGAATCATTATTCTCACATAGGTTTCTTGACCTTTGACTCTCATATTTCATCTCCTCCTCAGCATGTATTGTTTAGATATGAAGTACTATATGAAGTTTTTGTGTTCAAAACTTGTTCGAACATTAAGAACTGAGGATTTGGTATTATGGTAAATGATGGTGTTTAAAAATTCAATTTTTTCTATGTATTTTAATGAGATGCTAGTTGAATGCTAATTCTAATAAGGATTTCTAGTCACTGGTTGTTCCACTCCTCCTTTAGTAGCGCGTTACAAGACATTCCAACTTCTCCTACCAAGTTTGAATGATGCCTACCAGATCACGCAAACATGCTAGAAAAATCAAATGATGTTCCTTACAGGATCAGTACCAAAAAACAAACAAACAACAACAACAACAACAAAAAAAAACGGTAAATACATAGAAAATTAACTTTAGTTTATAGACAAATAAGTCGAGGTGATCAGACGAAAGCTAACCGTATTATATGTTATATATATGCTGTATCTCTGCCTCAGTTTCATGTTCGATACTTGGGTGAATTATTTGATGTTCAGGTAACTATAAGCATGAGTCACTGTCTGTTCCTAGTCAGACGTAGAATGATGAATAATCGTAGGCGACAGTCTAGATGGAAGGTTTTTATTATTTTTATTCACTTGTTTAAATTACTCGTGGTGATCTATTTGACTTAGCACATCCGGTTACACGTACATACGACGAATATGTTAGAATAAACCAAAAACTTCCAAAAGCTATTTCAATCTGAAATGTTCAGTGTTTCCGAAATCAATTTAGTATAGGTTACAAAAGAGTAATATAAATTTTTGCATTTTTCTCTACTTTCGAATTTATAGATACTCTAAATATTTAACATCAATGATCGTGATTCGCTGAATAATTTTTTTACTCTAAGGTGTATAACATTAAGAGTTGACTATTACAGTTGTAACAACTACAGGTGAAACTGTAGAGTATATCAAGTGGTATATCGCAGCTCGAACACTTAGATTTAACGATCCGTAGCCCAGCACCTAACCACTACCACACACCTAACCTAAACTATTGTAATCTATATCAGAATGCTATGGATTTCAACAATATGTCATTATTTTGTTTTTGTGGATATGCTCCTACTGCAAAACAAAAAACAATCAGTTAAAAATCCCAGTGCGTAGTATTTGGAGAACTGTTATTGAAGAAAAACAGTTATTGTAATTTCTTCTCGGGAACTACCGAATCATGTCTCAGTATGTAGCTCTAAGGTTTAAATCAACCTTGACCTACTTATGGGGCAATGCCCTCCTCTCACGTGGCTAATTATCGATTTCTTTCTTGGGCGTGTACCTGCAATCCACAATTCGATGAGTCATACAAACTAAATTCATTATAAAAACCTCTGGTTTCTCCACAGCATTTCATGGTTGCACGAAATTAGGCCGTTTATTTCCCCTTCAGTAATATTTTTTTACAGAAGAATTCAGATAGCATTTATATGTTGTGGTGGACCAGTATGATGAAGTTGAAATAAAGTAATTTAGAAGCAGATGAGACAAATCCAATATAAACATTGTTTGATGATTATGTTTTTACAGATTAGTGATAAAAAGTTCCTCAGATATTCTTGAAACACCACTGAACCAACTCAAGTTAGTGTTTAATGAACAGAATCGTCAATTCAAAAATACAGTAACAACAACAATTACAGTAGGGAAGTTCCAATTTTAATAATTACAACGTTTTGACTCACAGTATTGAGTCATCATCAGATGAGGGTTATATTCAATTATTATCATGTGACGGTCAATCCCACTATTCGTTGGTAAATGAGTAGCCCAAAAGTTGGCGGTAGATGGTGAGGACTAGCTGCCTTCCTTCTAGTTTTTCACTGCTAAATTAGGGATGCCTAGCGCAGATAGCCTTCGTGTAGCTTTGCTCGAAATTCGAAACAAATAGAAACAAACTGGGTCTGGTGATTTTCAGAAATATAAAAAATAATCATGTGAATTATCCATTTCTTTCTACTTGTCTAGGCCTAAAATTAGGATAATTTACACAATCACAAGCATTAATTCAGTTGCTCAATTTTAGGTTTTTAAAGCTCAATAAGTATTCGAATTTACATAATATAACATTTTAGGTATTTCCAGCAATACCAGAAACGAGATTCATGGCTCATAACTCATTACTGCAAAAATGCGGGCGTGGATGCGTTATATCCAATATTCGATGGAATAGAATTAGTCAAGAATTTGCTGTGGGTGCTGTTTGCAAGCTTCCGTCCTTCTAGTCTGTAACTTTATGTATCAGGTAGCCTTTGTGTAGCTTTGCGTGAAATTCTAAAATAAACAAATAAAGAACTTATAAAAACGAGAAGCGATAGATTACAGTTTACCGATAGTTATCACTTCTCGTTTAACATACGAGGTAGCGATCATTACAGTTTACCGATAGGATCGCTACTTCGTATGTTAAATTTTCAAATACTTTAATGATACGTGGTAACTATCAAATAACAAAATAATTTCGTTTTTGAGTGGAAAGGAGAAATGACGATTAAGTCGGCTGTTGTGTAAACTGTTCAACCTAAGTTTCTCACGATGTTAAATGTTTTTAATGATTAATCTTTCTTCATTCATGGTCATGACTATAGGATGTTTGATAATAACAGATAATGCTGTGATGACGAATCTTTAAACGTATAGCATCCATGTAAAGAACAGATGAATTTCATTCAGTATCAGGTTATTACAAAAACAAAAATGTTAACCTAAATGAAAGAAAAAAAATGCGTATAATTTGAGCTACATTTGCGAGCATCTAATGTGTTAGAATATTTTTGGTTGTGTTTGTTAGATTGTAGCAAAAAATTACTTAATATTAGCACATTTCGTTTTTGAAAACAACATGAGCTTCTAGAGAAGTAGTAAATGTCTTATCTCAAACTGATGATTTAAAAAAGAAAGTTTTCCATTTTTTTTATTAGCTGTACCTTGTTAAGGTAGGCGAGGTTAAGGCTGACACACAATTTGTAGTTAAGTGACAAATTGCACAATTAAAAACATCTTGTTTTCTTGATCAGTTATTGACGGTGAAAGAAAACATGTTAAACTATCGATGAATACTACCTCTCAGTAAACCTAGGATAGAAAAACGACGAAGATAAAGAGGTATCTAAAGTTTAACGTACATACATTTTTTCAACTATGAGATTTATCACTGTTTTCTTCATTGATAGGGAGTCAAGGATGTCTAAATCATTTAATAATGACGTTGGTAGGTCCGCCCCCCCCGCCCCCCCAAGTAACTTATTGACAAGTCCGTTGGCTTGTACGGCTAACCATCGGGTATCGATACCTACTATGGCCAGAGCACAGTTAGTCCATTGTGTATTACTGCGCTTAACAACAAACAAACTTTGTTAGTATGAAGGTTTTTATTATCTCTGTTTCCCCCTTTAATTTTGCTGCAATTCAAGTGAAGATTTAATGTTATCACAATAACGTATTTTTCGTATTTTGAAATGACAATGTTTTCTTGTGTGATTTTTTTTTTTTTTTTTTTGGTGAAAGGTAATAATTTCCAAACGAACAGGTATTTTATAATCTTCAGGTTAAATACAATTTTCTTGTTAAAATATAAGTTATAGTTTTCTATTATCTTTTTCTTTTCCTTTACTTTTGCTGCAATCTAGGTGAAGGTTTAGCACTCTCGCAATAAATGTTTTTCGTTTTTCAAAATGATGATGTCTTCTTTTTTTTTTAGCAAGGGGTAGTTTACAAGAAAAACTGTGAAGTTGGTTAATAGTGTATAATTATAGTCATCGAAGACGGACAAAGTAGTTTCAAAGGTTGCAATAAATTTGGAACATCTTTCTTATAAAGTCCAATTAACCCTACCCTCAGTATAGAAATGCCGAGTCTTGCTATTTACCTATTAAAGCATGATATTTTCTCACTTTCAAGTCCTTTTTAATTTTCTTTGTTTATCACGACATGTTTAATCCCAGAAGATATTGTGCTTATTAAGATTTATTGATAAGAGTCAAATTTCGGTCGGGTATTGCTTAGCGGCTAGCGTACCGGGCTGCGAAGAAGAAGGTCTAGTGCTAAAGCTTGCAATATGCCGTTGACCTTGTTCTGCACTTTCAGGTGTAGACACGTTATAATAGTAGCAGTTAATTCCGTTAATCGGTAATGAGAACCTTGTTGGCTGGTTTCCCTTCATCTTGGAGAAGATCTAAATTATGGAAGGCTATGCCCGAATACTGGGGGGGGGGGGATCTCTCTAACCTGACCATTCTTCTCATGTGTCCAATAATCTTTTTTAAATCTTAAATTCTATAATTATTACACTTTCTAACTTCTAAAATAACACTTGCGAACAATTTTTTTTCTAGCACCGTGTCATAAAGCTCATTTTAAGTATTGTTAATTTATTTTGACTAGATCGCGTTCATTATTTTAACAACCACATGTTTCCAGGTTTCCATACAAAGAATCAGTGTTTTATTGTTTATACTTCAAAAAGAAAGAATCAACATAAACATTTTTTAAGACTAAATTATTTTAATGTTTTTCTAGCTCCTTTCAGTAGCGGTTTGTGTGTGTAGTCGCACAGTTCATCAGAATGCTAGAAACAACAGGCGACATAAATATTCCAGGTAAGAAACAACTATGACTTACAGGGCAGTTGTAACTCATTTATGTATATTAAATAAACTGTCTCTTTTGAATCTACGAATTCCGTTTCAACGTAACACTTAAAACCTCTGATTTTATGTAAAGATCACTTTCTGTTCTAAAATCGTCTAAGTTTGCTCGTTAGACTGTATTATGTCCCCCTGCGGTACATTTGAGTACTAATAACCCTAAAATTTTAGGTTTGAGCCCTGTGGTGAGGACCATTATGTAGCTTTGCGTTTAGAAATAAAAAAGCAATAATTATCTCCATGAAAGTGTAAGCCACAATACTAATGATAAGAGATGACTGATTAAACTGAAGATAATAGTTTTTGTTTTATAATAAGTACGAATAATACATAGAATACTCCAACTGGCATTACAAAAAATCGAAAGCAATAACTTGGTCTTAGTTTAGAATAATTTTATATCGGGCAGACAACCAGGCCCGTCTCCAGCTCCTTTCCTTTAGGGAAAGGAGGGGCAGTGGAGCTTTTGTTAACTCTTCTTAGTGATTTAAGAAAAAAATCGTACGATTTTAACCGCTAAGGAACAGGAACTTGGGTGAGCCAGAGAGAAATTTATGGGAGCACGGCTTCCCAGCCCTCCCCACTAGCACTGGTCCTGCATACAACACCTTCTGGAAAATTGTTTAACGACAGACAATAGTGAAATTTTAGCATTAAAATCATTATATTTTTTAAGTTAACACTGAATAAGATGATTAGATGTAGAAACGGAATATTTTAATTAATTTCATAGCTAGCTAACACATAGTAAGTGGTGTTGAGAAAAATGTATAAGTAATGTGAAATTTTAGATAGTATTTGAAATAATCGATAGTTTACTACTAAAATAGAGATAACAGCTGATACTAACAGGGAATTTACTGTCTAGTTTCTGCGATTTACCTTGTTTATCTGAAGTATTATTTGTTATCTCACCAAGTCTTAAATTAAACTTGACAAAGCAACTTAGATAAAAATGCTATTTAAAACCAGCTTAGTATTATTTATTCTTGTAAATGAAATTTGGACTTTTGGTGCTAAAGTGTACTTATTTTGATATAACGTACTAAGCAATAAGTGACAAATATGAAAGTGAATTTTACTTTATTAACTTTATCTTATGATAATTTTTATTTTCTTTTATTTGCAGAGAACGGGCATGGGACCCTTTGTTACAAAAACGTGGTCAACAAGTACACAGTTTGGCGGAATCCAACGAATGTTGCCCATCAGTTACAGAAATCGTTCAGCCTCGTGGAGGTGTGTCCAGATTTGGGAGGATTCTAGAACTGTATCACGACCAGAATTCCACTCAAAGCTTTTACCAGACGTCTTGCCAAGATCACATCAAAGGCCGACCTTGCCGCTACATCAGGTCTCACATGCATCTTAAGTCAAAGTGCGTTCAACGCTATAGCTTTACCTATGCCCTTGTTCGCGAGTTTAACACCAAAGACCCCTGGCGTCTAGATTACATCCGGATACGTAACGGATGTACGTGTGAAGTCCGACGTAACAAGAGACGGAAGGTAGATATTTGAAAGCAGTCTTTGTCTGATGGAAATTTACAGATTATTTGGAAGAGTTATCTTTAATTTGACTACATCACGTCTTGCGTAATGATGAGGAGCAGACACGTGTGGAAAAACCTCTGCCATAATGATTCCTCTGAATATCCTCTAATATCTAAATCTTCCTTGGCCTTGCCTGAAAACAAAGAGAAATCATTTGTTCCACTGAATCTGAAAATATTAGCTGAATACCGGACAAAAATACAGGCTCCTATACAATGAATACGTTGATGATTTCCCTGATAAGTAACTGAGTAAACCTCATACAGTTGTTAAGATGAGGCTGAGATAACTATCGATCTATATACTGACTATATTTGTATTTAGTGACGCATTTTGGCTGTGAAGCCTCAAAAGACATTTCTATATAATAGACAAAACTTGAACATTGCTCAAGACCACGTTTGACCATGTTTTCTCAAGGCCATGCTTGACCAGGTTTTGTCAGAAAACAGCCATGTGAATTAAAATTTAATACTGTTGTAGAAAGTTTAACACGAAGTGTGTTTACACTTACACACACTCGTCTATATATATGTTAACTTATAAATGATTAAAAATTTTCGTTTCAAGCACTACGTTATACAAACACACACAAACACGTTTATGTACTTATGATACTGCCAAATAGATATAATCGGGACATCACACTCAGTAATGATGAAAGCTAGACTTCTGGTATTTCATGAAATCGTATTCTTGAAGTAAAATAACTTATGTTTAATCAGTAAATAAGAAAGTACAGGCTAATACGGGTGTTCATCTAATGAAAGATTTATATAAAATTCAAGAAAATAAATTACAAAAACGAAACATTTATAAAATATTTTAAATACAAATATTTAGATCTTTAAACAATTTTTTTCGTAAGGAACCTAAAATCAAACAATTTTAGACAAATTAATAAATATAGTTGATGATGTAAAATGGCCAATTATTTGTGTTGTGACCAAACTACGTTTAAAAATAAATAAAACTATTTTCATTTGTATTTAATCTTCTGAAAAAAACACACAAAAAACACGCAAAATATAGTAATGATCCTAATTGGGTTCTTGATCTTATAAAAACACGATACAATTATATGTTTCAATATAAGACAGAATTTTTAATGGTCCCATTAAAAAAATGACAATACGTCATTTAACCTCACCTATTTAACATATCAACATTCATGAAACATGGTCGTAATAATAATAATAATATAACGAATAAATTCCATAATGAGAAATCGTATTTTTTCCAGATATTTATAGCAATAAAAGTGATTTTTTACTTATTAAAAACAATGTGTTTCTCACCATTAGTTAGAAGTAGGATAATAATGAATATAATAAGTAAAACATTTTAATGTACCTTATGTAACGAGAAAACAAAATTATTAACTAGAACTTCTGTTATTGTTCTTAGAATAATTAAAGAAATCACGAATCAGTAGATGTTATTAGTTCTATTAATGCCTATTGATAGATCTCTTAGTTAAACATGCTATAATAAATGTTACATAATATAAACACATTTTACAATTTGAAGTTTACCACTGTTAAAAATTCCATTTGTTTAGCCTTTTGATAACACTATAGAAATTATTAAATAAAATATTGCAAATATCCTCGTAGCGTTTAATAAAATAATTTCGATTTAGTTTATCCTCTTAAAACCCTTCGATGTTAATTTTCAAATTTCTAAGTATATATGCGTTTGTAGGACAAGAATTTATGTTTGTTTCTGTTGTTAAATTTAATTGGCTCATAAATTGTACCTTTATTGATTAAATTTGGCTGTCCATACGAGTTCTCAAATTGGTTAAAATTATTTTATTAATAATTACTTCATCTGGAAACAACAGGCTTATCTCAATTACTGTTATATTGATATCAGTTTTAATAGATATAAATAATTGAATGCTTATTTAATATCGCTTCTTCTAAAGATTCTAAGTATGTAATAAAACTGGAAGCACCTTTTACAGACATGAAAACCGAATCACAGTGGAAATCATTCACGAATCATTCATGTCTCCCTACAAACCTAATTTTTAATGTTTTCAATGTTAGAATTAATATCAATATATTGTTTTCCTTTTTACTTAAGTTCAGCTTTCCTAGATTTTTTCTTGTACTGTAAGTTTTCGTTACATTATTGTTATTTCAGCACAGTTTTAGATAACTGTTTAAATTTTGAACGAATCATCAATGTTTTTATATTATCCTCCAACTGTTAAGCATAAACAATTCTTAAATGTGTAATTTGACATTTCTATTTCAGAATTAGCTTGAGAACAGTTTAGAGTATGTTTGAAACGATTATATAGAATAAAGTTTATACCAAAAAATATAAACAAATTCTTAATTGATTTTAAGCGGTATGTTTTCCATAAGTAGCGAAAAAAATTTTTTCTCGTAAAAAAACTGATACTATATTTTATATGATGATGCAAGTTTAAGAGAAACCAAACAGCTTCAATCCTTGTTTATTACCCTGTAGTTAGTCAGAAGTCTAAATATTTATCTGAGGGGTGATGAACTATTAATATGAATGTGCACGTTTGATATTAGATGTTTTCAACCTAAATGCGACACAAACGGGTTAAGTCAGACTTAGAGGTGCAGGAATAACCACCTCTAATTCAAATCTCATAATTTAATTAATGATTTATCATTTGTTGCTTTTAAAGTTTAATTTAGTTGTTTCGTATTGTAAATTCCAATAGAGAGAAACTGAACGTCGGGGGACTATCAGGTATTTCAAGGGAAAAATTTAACAACGGGATACACCATAAAATTATCAATTCAATATTAACATAGCCCTACCCATGGTAGCTGAGCAGTAAGCATGACGGCATATAATACTTGAATGAAAGGTTCGATCCTTGTGGTAGAGGTAGTCCAAATAGCACATTGTGCACCTTTTCACTCAAAGCAATTAACTAACGAGACAAATGAAGATATAAATTTAACAATTAAATTTACCACATTTATTAATTCCGTTTAGATATTAACATGACCACCCACCAGTGGCTCAGCGATAAGTTTGATGGGCTTATTTGTCCAGAACTGTGGATTTGATCGATGCGGTAGCCATAGTAGAGACAGCCCACTGTGCAGCTTTGCGCTTTAAAAAAACATGAATACGTAAATTTTGTAAATACTCGTGTGATTTTGAATCAGTAGAACATTTTACTGGCAGGAATTCTGTTTGATCGCCTACCATCAATGGGCAATTAGCAAGTAAAATACTCTGACAAAGAATCTTTTATGGAAATAGATATTTTGGTTATAGTTTAAAAGTATTCGTGGTATTAAGAAATGGCAACTCTTTAGAGCGCCATCTAGTAAGCTTAAACGTCATTATTTTACTCTGATTTTTCCTGGTGAATGAAATTGCCTAAGAGTTATCTGGAACAAGCTGGAGTACCCGTTCGTTTGTAACAAAGGATGGGAAATTATGCTTCTATTTTTTTCTTAACATAATAAACATTGAAAGGGCAATAAAAATACATAAAAGTACCAATACTGAAAAGAAAGACATACTGGTTTCAATAATTCTATCAATATGAAATTAGATGGGGGTCCAACCCCGCTCATAACCTACCTCATGTCCTCCTGTATCATTTTGTCAAGTTGAATGCTGATTGATCAAGAAGTGTGGAAATATATAAGGAACAGATACACACACATATTAGCGTTTATTTATATAGAAAATGGGGTCCAACCCCCTCCCTCTTCACGATCTTCCTCATGTCATCCTATATCATTGTGTTAATTTTGGTGCTGATCGATCAAAAAATGGGA